ATTTACTTTACTCGACTTAAATACCGCCCTTCATCGTAAGATCTCAGGGTGGTTCACACGATAAATCGGCGGGATGCAGGCAGGAAAGCTTTGCTGAGAGCGAATACCTTCTGTAGCATACATTTTGCCACATGCAGCATGGGGTTAATGGCAGATGCCGTGCCTACAGGATGCCCCGCATCCATCCCTGGCAATCTCCCGCCACATAGGATCAGGCATAGGAACATCTCCGCCGAGCATACTGGACAGCAGCTGTCAGGCAGAGCAGACGCACGCTATGTCATAGTAGTTCAGCAATGGCAACTTAATATGTTGAGACAGGATGAACAGTGCTTTCTTTGCTCCACAAACGATGCCTGTGTTTCATCTGTCACCTGGAGAACTAGAATAATAGTATAATAATAATTAAAAACTTTGCTTGTGTAAAATGGAGTAAAGGCATTTGTCGAAATTTATCTTCCCAACACATTTGCAAGTATATTGTTAGAATTATGGAAGTGAACCACTTGAAGTAACAACAGTACCACCTTTGTTAACTTGGTGCCCTCCAGTTGTTGGACTGCAGCTCCCTAACTAGTATGCTGACTAAGACTGATGGGAGATACAGTCCAGCAACATCCAGGGGACACCAGGTTGGCAAAGGCAGCATTAATGAACCTATGCTGTACAGACAACATTATGTTATCTGTGGCGGGATCCACCACATAATAAAATGTTTAGTAACACCACAACTTTAATTAAACCAAGGGTAGGGCTGGCCTTATAAAAAGGTGGCTGACTTTGTTGCAGGGGGTAGCAGACATAGCTGTCAACAGTCCACAAATAATAGCCTCTTAGAGCGAAATATACATCAGGAGGCTTAGTTTGGTCAGAATTGAGTATACACTTCTAGGTAAAGGTACCCCTGCCCTTAGGGGCCAGTCGTAACCGACTCTGGGGTTGCGTGCTCATCTCACTTAAGAGGCCGGGGGCCAGCGCTGTCCGCAGACACTTCCGGGTCACGTGGCCAGCGTGACGAAGCTGCTCTGGCGAGCCAGCACCAGCGCAGCACACGGAAACGCCGTTACCTTCCCGCTATAAAGCTGTACCTATTTCTCTACTTGCACTTAAGGGTGCTTTCGAACTGCTAGGTGGGCAGGAGCTGGGACCGAACGACGGGAGCTCACCCCACCGCGGGAATTCGAACTGCCGACCATACGATAGGCAAGTCCTAGGCACTGAGGTTTTACCCACAGCGCCACCCGCATCCCACAGCGCTACACTTCCAGAGTTAACGCTAAATACATTACTTCTGGTAAATGAGCCACTATAGCTGCTAGAGGGGTGTAAAAATTTGTGTCACAGGCTTTTTTGTCTACCCATGTACTATTTGAATCCAAAGGGGCACATTGGCTGCCAGATGTGAAATTTATATAGCTGCAAAAGCTGCGGCTGCTGAAGAAACCAGAGATCATATTGGCTGGGAGTCCTGGAAGACCTGCTCCACCTGGCCTGGGAGAGTGAGACCCTGACGACTCCAGCTACAAAAGCTGAGGCTGCTAAACAGACTCTCGGGCTGGGGTATTGTTTTGTGGGGGTTGCTGTTTTTGTGTTGTTGTTTTTGTATTTTTATTTTTGATTTTGTTGTGATTTATGTGGAAATTACTCAGTTTGGTTTTGTATTTTTAATGCTTAATTTATTGTTTATGACTACATTTGTTATGGTGTAGCTATGTATTTTTTTCATATTGTATGCCGCCATGACCATGATTTGGACTGTGAAAATGGAATTATGTGTGTATTTATCCTTGTGCCTTCTGAGCCCTCTCACCATCAGCAGAGAGCAGCGTAGTGTTGTGATCTTCCACCTGTACTCAGCCTACATCTCATATTTGTATAAAGCAGAGATGGGTCCAGGAACCAAAAGACTACTGTTTGTGACAGGGAAACGAACAGGAGAGAAAGGCCAAACCCTGCAACCTCCCTGCGAAGGGAAGAGCAAAAATGCTAGCACTTGACCTAAGTGCTGCATAACCATCTCTAACCAGCTCTAAGATTCTATGATTCTATATGGATGCTTTAGCTGAGATTCCTGCATTGCGGAGAGTTGGACTAGATGACCCTTGGGTCTCTTCCAGCTCTAAGATTCTATTATCTTGGCATGCCTAGCAGCTTTGCTGCTACAAAAGCAAAGATGCTGAGGCTAACAGGTTATGTCTACCTTATCTCCCTGTTCCTCCTGTGTACTGGTAGTTAAGTCCTGCCACTCCGTGAAGGGGAGACAAGAAGGACGAAAAAGCGAAAATGTATGGTGTGGGAGGTGGAGCAGGCTGGGAAAGGGGCACAAAGCACAGGCACTTGGTGACTGTGCCATGTGTCAGCCCCTCCTTCCTTACTTAGAAGCAAGCCTCCCTGAATTTAATGGGGCTTCCAGCCAATAATGCTTACATAGGGCTGTAGGCTTTGTTATGGCTAGATCAGATTCTTTTGAATTTTTCTTCTGAAAGAACAGAGGTTAGCAGCTCATTTTATTACATTGCTGTTTCCCATCTGACCTCCATTACAGAACCCTAAGGACTCTAATGTGGACTTTTGGGCACCGACTGACCAGACCCAGAACTCCTTCACTTTAGCAAGGTGGCTGCCCCTCACGGTTTCAGTCAATGACTGGGATCCTAATCCATGGCAATACAGGAATCTGAGGCTACCCATGTAGTCCAAGCAGAGGCCAAACATATGTTATAGGAGGCTGGAAACCTTAGACATTATGCATGTAAAAGTATAGGAACACCGTTCACAAAAATGTTGTCTGAATGTCCAGCATAAATCTAGTCAGGAAAATGAAAATCCAGTATAGCTGCAAGTCAATTAGAAACACCAAGTCAGGCAAGAAGATCCATTATTCCACTGTACACAAAAAATTATGACACATCACTAGGTGTCAGTTCACATTTGAGAAAGAAAAATGATGAAATCATATTAAGAATTATGTGGAGCCTGGAAAAAGAGACTTGTATATCAACCTGTTCTGATTAGCAGAAAGATAAAATACATGTGTCAGTTGCAACCATACGTACTCTTCATCACCTTGTTGTGGTGAGTGGGCTTGCACATTCCTATGACCCTTGTGGGCGAAGCCGTCAGGAGTCTTGTACTCCCAGCAGGGTGAACTAAGGTAAGGTCAAAGGGAAGGAGCTAGCCAAAGAATGAGCCAAGAAGTCCTCAATGGCAGAACAGGCAGAAGATAACAAGCAGTATGTTACAAGGGTTGTGAAGGTGGATGAAAGCTGCAGCAGATAAAAATCTACCAGTCGTCGTGATACTCATGCCATCAGAATAGAGCATTACTGCGAAGATTGTTTGTTGGTCAGTGTGCACTGATCTACACACATAAAGCAAATTCACTCACAGGCGTCTTCCAAAAATCCATCCCAGATAACAATGGCTTTCCAAGTGAACCATTCACAGTGGGATCAGGTGTTAAACAGGGTTGTGTTATCATCCCAACTCTACTTATTATTTTAATCGCCTTGATCCTACACTTTGTTGAAGTGAAACTCCCCACTGGAGTAAAAATCATGTATCGAACAGATGGAAAGCTCTTTAATCTGAGTAGGCTGAAAGCAAAGAGTAAGGTTACCATAACTTCTGTCATAGAGCTTCAGTATGCTGATGGCAATGTAGCATGTGCACACTCAGAGAATGACCTCCAAACCATCCTAAATATCTTCACAGAAGCTTACAAAAAGCTTGGCCTATCGCTCAACATCCAAAAAAACCAAAGTGCTGCACCAACAAGCACAAAACAACCCCTCTGCAGCGCCACAAATCAAACTCATTGGTGTAACTTGGGAAAGTGCTGAACACTTCTCCTACCTGGGCCGTTATCTTTTCACAAGAGCAGACACTGATGCTGAAATCTAGCATCGCCTGAGCTCTGCGAGTGCAGCTTTCTCCTGATTGAAGTACAGAGTGTTTGAGGACCAGGACATTCGTAGGGAAACCAAAATGCTTGTTTACAAACCTATTGTACTACCAACCTTACTTTATGATCTTATTGTCAGTTTGTTTGGCCAGTTCCGGCCCATCTGGAGCTGACACTACGGCTCATCTTGCTTTGAGCCCAGCAGAGCATAATTCCAGTCCGCAGAACGAAAGGATAAGCAGGTATGGTGCTACATGCGAACTTTATTTACAAGCTATGCTGAGAGCATACAAACATACATCTTGCCTCTGTGAGACGCAGAGAGCAACCACCCTCTCGACACAAAAAGAAACCGAGAGAACACTGAAAAACAGGAAACTAGTGTACGTCACATCCAGTCTCCCATTCCCGTGGGAACCCAACAGTAACTTGGACTGTGGAATGTAAACAATGTCTTGTGACTGCAGTTGCTGCTCAGTGAGGGAAATAGAAACCAACACTTATAAACGCCATCTCCAACTCCTCGAAATCCAGCAAGTGTCTCCGAAAATTTTTAAGTATCACTTGGGAAGACAGGCAACTAATGCCAGTGTACTGGAAGAAGCAAAGATCGCCAGTGTCAAAACAATGATTCTTCAACATCAACTTTTTGACCTGGTCATGTTGTTTGGATGCCTGATTATCGTCTTCCAAATCAACTACTCTATTCCAAAATGTAATGCTGATAGTCAACAAAAGAGTTTTAAAGACTCTTTCAAGGCAAATCTTTAAAAATGTAGTTTAAACACCAACAACTGGGAAACACTGGCCTGTTTGTGCTCCAACTGGAGAACAGCCTTTACCAAAGGTGCCATGGACTTTGAAGACGCTCAAACTCAGGATGAAATTGAGAAACGTGCTCAGAGGAAGGCATGTTTGGCAAACCCTCACCATGATCCACTCCCATCCCGAAACCTATGTCCCCACTGTGGAAGGACATGTGGGTTCAGAACGGACTCACGGTTATGACCGTGTTCATGGAAGACAATCTTACTCAGCTACAAGTGATCACCAAAGAAGAAGACCTTGCAAATAAAAGTCTCTTAACCAAGTGAGATAGAAAACAAAACACTGAAATGTGTTTAATCAAAGCAGAAACAAGCAAATGCCATGGAGTAGGTGGAGGAAGAAAGAACTATTAGATGTTACAGACAAATTACAGACTGCAGTACTGTATAACAAAAACAAAATATATTTTATTCAAATTAAGCATATTTGCTAGCACCTCAGGATAACCAGTAAACTAGAACAGTCCAACAGATAACCAGTCCAGTAATCCAAGCAACTGAACGTATTTTAGTGCATAATGATGGTAGAAAAGTACCATGACTTGTCACAACACACTTTCGAAACACTCTCAGCCAGCTAGAATGCACCGTCTATTTACAAAGAAAGAAAACTAGTGTGCTGCTTAAGGTCTCAACAGATGCATACAGAGCAAAATGCAAGCTGTGTGTGACCAAACTTGACCTAAGCACAACACACGGCAGTAAATTTGTCTGTAGTTTTCTTCCCCACTTCAGAAGTATGGGGGGGGGGCAGCACAGAAATCTGTTAAGATTGGAAAAAGAAGATAGTAGTTAAATAAAAAAAATACTAGTTACAAGCTGAATCATGTTCTAGCAACTTCTAGCCAAATAATTTGATACAGTCTACTATCTTGTTCAAACAACAGACCAATTCCCCAATGACTACAGCAGAACATCCATGAAATCCAATGAGGTTAGAGTTTATGGTGTGCTGCTGCCTCCTGCAATAAACTGCGGAGTCAATCACACCAAGAATTGAACATGTCTTACGACCTACAGTATATATAGTCAGACGAACAAGGGACATGTAAGAAATAGGTTTTCTTTATGGTATTTTTTCAAGCTTTTTAATTGTTTGAGGGAATAATCTCCCCCTCTCCATTTTTTAAAAAAATATTTTCTTCATTGCTTTTACTGTTATTGGTATATACAACGTATATAAGCAATACAAGCTTGTGGTTTCTATTTGAGATTTGTTATATAAAATATAAAAAATACTGTAACAAAAAAGAAAGAGGAAAAAAATGGGGCAGATGGCCATTCTGACACTAGCCAATCCCTGCCAGTCACAATAGTTTCAACCAAAGGTATTTTTACACTTGAAAATACAAGCCAATCTACATGCCTACAGTTGTGATTTTTAGTTATGGGTTTGATAAACTCAAAAACTCTAGCTATTGCATTGTGTTTTTCTTTCTTTCTTTGTGAAATGAGATGTTCTGGCATTCTCTGCATAGCCATGCAGAGTACACACACCGTTGTGGACTCTTATTTGAAGTATATCATCAACCACACTGAATACAATAATCAGAAGCATCTATTTGGTGCTACACAGACATACAAATATTGGCGGGGAGGGGGTTCATCTATTTCTGACAAAAGTGAATCAGGCTATAGGGCAGGCTGCTCCCTAATCTCTTTCCATCTTCATATCCAGGGAGATGCAAACTGGCTCATAAATATCTGAAAAGTACAAGTGTATCTCACAAATTTATCAGTCCATGGTTGTGACATTAACATCTTCCAGGTTCTTAACAGAGAGTGTTAGAATGCTAATTTATTTAGAAGTATGAAAGGTTTGCAAAGCCACTGTAACTTAACCTCATTCCTCTTACGCTAGCCAGATTGCATCCCAGTATATTATATGTGAAAAGGAAAGAAACCACACAATACTGGTCTATACAAGAGACTACTGAATCATTGCTGAAGTAAAAGAAGCAGTTGTTGAATGCCATGATGGGCAGGGAGTCATCCAACTATGGCATGGCCATAATAATCCCCTGAAACTAGAAACAGAAAAAGGGCAAAACAGCAAATATAACTGCATCCTAGGAATACAGACTCCAGTTGCCCTCTTTAATGATTAAAATGAACTTGGCATCAAAAATGGCATACTCCATATCAGTAGTTTGTGGGTGGGGGATGACAACCCACATTTTTTTTCTCTCTCTCTTTCCATAACGAGAAACAAACAAAATCCACTGATGGCCATGGTTTCTAAGGCGTTGATCACCAAGACATTTACTGCAGAATAATCATAGGAAAGTGCCATGACTTTCACTAGACTATTCCAGAGTAAATGATTTACAACCCAAGTGTGCTTGTGTAGAAAGTAACTGTTATTGTTCCTCAAAATTAGCTTTGCACTAAATTTAATCCCACTGGTGACAGAAGCTCATAGCCCTACACCCGCCCACTTAATGGAAACATCCAGCTTTATTAGAGACATTTTCCCAGCAATGCTAAAAATGGACCAGCTCTCACAGAATCAACATTACTGAGAGTACCAAAGCAGCTGCTGACTGCTACTGTGCTTTGAACAGGACATAATACGAGTAGAGCATCAGCTGATAACCAATAATCCAGACTGTACCCATCTTTTTATGTATATAAAAATATTGTTGTAGCCAACTCCTGGTGGGTACTTCTCACAGAAAAACATGTAAAAAGTGAGTGTGTGGGTCCAGTTTAGTGTGGGCCTGCTCACACACCACCCTGGGCTTCCTGACAGGAGAAGGAAATGTTGTCAGTACATAGTCAAGAACTGGTGATTTTGCCTGTCACAGTGTAGACCTGACTGAAAGGGACCAAAAATGTATCTTGGGCAGCAATACCACACCAAGCTGTGGAGCACCATTTGTCCTTGCTACAACTGCCTGCCTGCCTGCCTCCACCCACCCACCCACCCCCTTCGTCCTGTTTGGGCATTTCTTGCCACTTCTGTTTGCAAACAATACCACACAGGTCGATTTGTGCTCGGTCCCCTGCCCTACATGAAACAAGCAACTTGAAGAGCAGGACCCCAATCCTAAGGAGGGCACGTATGTCTCAGAGACCATGGCGCTTGCGAGCCACCCCTCCCATGCTGGCAGCATGCAGCAGGCGGTCCTTCTCCCGGATCTCCTCACGGAGTTGGGCTTCGGACAGGCGCAGGCGGCGGATGCTGCCCTTCATCTCCTTCATCTTCACCTCCAGCAGAGCAATGATGTCCCGCTGCTCGTTCAGTTTGCGCAGCAACTCCTCCGACGTGGTACCCGACGACAGTGAGTAGGAGTGGTCTGGCGGGCTGTCCACCAGGGGCCCGTTATCTGTAAGGAATGCCAGGCTAACAGGGCCCCCGATCATTGCCCCGGGGCCTCCCAACATCGCCCCTGGGGCCCCGAGCATCGTCCCAGGGCCTCCCAGCTCCACCTGCACGGTCAGGTCCATAGGCTTCACATCATCTCCTGCGCCTCCTCCCCGGGGCACACCTTGCCCAGCCGCGGCGGCGGCAGCAGCTCCCTCCTGCAAAGCGAGCAAGACCGCGGCTTGCGCGGCGGCGACCGCGGGCGCCTGGGGAGGCGCGGGGGCGTGGCGTGCGCGCCGGTTCCCACGGGCGCCCTTGCGCTCGTTGACGCCCCGCAAGGGGAAGATGGTGGGCACCCGCACCAGGTAGGACTTGCGCCCGCCGGGGAAGTGCTCGGAGCAGACGCGGTGGCCCGTCGTGGGCTGGAAAGTGCTGAAGCATCCGCTCACTCCGGCCCGCGACACATTCTTCAGCCAAAGGCGGCGCAGCTCCGCGTCCTTCGGGAAGGTGTAGAAGTGGAGCGCCTTGTCTCGGTGCGAGTTGTTGTAGCAGCCTGGCACGCAGCACGTGAACCCGGGCATGGTCTGTGTGGTGTTTCGCTGCGCCCTCCTCCTTTCCCTCGGCGGGCCGAGGCAGCCGGGACTACAGATCCCACAAGGCCTCCCGATGCCGAGTCCCAACGACAAGGCGAGCCTCCTCCGCCACCGCCACAGTAGACCGCTCTCCGCAACAGCGCCACAGGAAACGGAACTACCCGCCCCACAAAGCACCGCGCCGTCGCCGGAACTACGTTTCCCACAAGGCACCACTGGGCGGGGCAGCCACGGGAGTGTTTAACTTGGCCACAGAAGAGCGGGAGAGAAAGCGGGCTGGGGATTCCACGCGCGCTCTGCAGCTTCCCACAATCCTCCGCGAGCCCCATAACTTTTTTGGAAGGCGGCAGGAGGCTTTATGAGGCAATAAATAAATATAAATAGTTGGCCTCTGTTTTGGCTTGTGCCGTAATAATATTTGTTAGTCTTTAAGGTGCCCCAGGACTTCTTATTTGTTTGCTGCAGCAGACTAACAAGGCTTCTCGCTGGAATTTATTTCGAGTCCTGTGCATGCTTACCTGGGAGTAAATACAATTGAAGCCAATGGATCTTGCGTCTGAGTAGACGTGGGTAGCATTGCAGCCTGGACTGCGTTCACACGATACTGCTAAAGTACATTCTTCACACGTATTCTGGGCACTGCAGTATACCCTTGGAGTTGCAGTTCCCAGCCTGAGAGACGGTGTGGTGGTTACAGTGTTGAATTAGGACCTGGAAGATCAGGGTTCTAATCCCTACGCAGCCATAAAGGTAAATCACTATCAGTGTTATAAAAATTTAGGCTGCACACACATAGCAGACACACATTCCACAGAAAACCAATCTTTCACCCATCAACATTTAGAAAATATTCCCTGAGAAAAATTACACTTTATTTTAGAACATAGAACAATCCCAAAAAGCCATCTTAGCTCTCCTAATGAGACTAAATATTTACTCTGTAGAAGGAAATATCTTGGAGAAACTTTTCCCAACAGCTATTTCACTTTCAAATCCTGACTTAAGGGCATATTTTGTGTATGAATGGGGTAGGCCTGTGCATTTTTTAAAATGCATTTCTATACTGCTGCTTAATCAAAGTTGAAGATGTGGATACACCCTAGAAATTAATAACTGCTAGGATTTTGGTTATTTGTGGAATGAAGGGATAATGCAAGCTGCAAAGGAATTCCTGGGCTGGGGTATTCATACCAGTCTGGCTGGGTGGGTGAACAGCAAACCTGTTAGCATGACAAAAAAAGGTGTTAATAAGACATCAGAGAAGGATCCTTTGCCCTGGGGAGTCAGGTGTCATAAAAGTTGCCAGGGTAACTGTGTGTTTGAGTGGATAAGAAAGGGGAGTTTTGAAGCAGGGATTCCTAGGAGGAAGAAGGGCTGAGATCCATCTTGGCCAGGCAGAGGAAGGGTTGCTTGCAATGCCGTAGGCCATGCTGTAAGATCTGGACTCTCTCCATGCAGACTGAAGTTGTAAATAGGCGAATAAACCATATTTCTTAAAGCACGATAGTCTCCGCTGCGTCTTCTATTATCCAAAGGAACACAGACCTGTGTGTGTGCCTGAGAACTCATGGGCTATTGCCATCGCTCGACAGAGAGGGGTAGACACCAGGCTTTTGTAACAATATTAAAAGGCACAATAATATAAAAAATAAAAACTATTACATAGTAAAAATTAAAAGCACAATGTAACAGAATATAATGTAGATTCAGCAGGCCAAAAAAGAACCAGAAGTGAAATTACATATATGCAAGTACCTTATTAACTGCCCATGCTTTTGGGGCTTTTAGCACTTTTAATTAATTGGCTGTGTATACACTATACCTTTACAGCAGATTTGAAGAACATTTACGTCAAAGAATTCTGGGCACTTGTAGTTTGTTGAAGGTTGCTGAGAAATAGCTCACTGAGGACTAAATTGCAGTGCCCAAAATTCTTTGTAGGAAATAATGTGTTTCATTATTTTTTTAAAATAATATTTTATTAAGTTTTCTTTCCAACAGTTAGAAATTTACAGAATAAAGAATGAAGATAAAAAGAGAAAGAGATACATAGAAACCAACTTTCCAAAATATTTTTGCCATTCCAACTGGACTTCCCCACATCTTCCGAACCCTGCGTTCTTTGCAATTAAAACATCAGCAATTTGTTACCTTATTTCATATCTTACTGTATCTTTCAAATACTATGTTTCTAAGTTCAAAATACTGTATCTCCGTTATTTGTACCTTAAAAATAAACATAGTATAGTTATTTCATATTGTCCACCTCGTCTTTCTTATAACTTAGTTTCCAATTCACCTATTCAAGTTGCTGAAGCAAAAGTTTCCTAATCGTACACATTCTTAACATTCATACAGCTTATAATGTTTTTGCAAATAGTCCTTAAATTTTTTCCAGTCTTCCTCCATTATTTCCTCTCCCAAATCTCGGATTCTGCCAGTCATTTCAGCCAATTCCATGTAGTCCATCAACTGCGTCTGCCATTCCTCCAGCGCGGGTAAATCTGGTGTCTTCCAGTACTTTGCGATGAGGATTCTTGCTGCTGTAGTAGCATACATAAACAAAGATCTATCCTTCTTTGACACCTTCTGGTCCACCATGCCCAGGAGGAAGGCCTCTGGTTTCTTAGGAAAGGTATATCTAAATACCTTTTTTAACTCATTGTAAATCACTTCCCAGAAGGCCTTCACTTTTGGGCAGGTCCACCAGAGATGAAAGAATGTCCCTTCCGCCTCTTTACATTTCCAACATTTGTTATCAGACAGGTGATATATCTTAGCAAGCTTGACTGGGGTCATGTACCACCGGTATATCATTTTCATAATGTTTTCCTTCAAGGCATTACATGCCGTGAACTTCATTCCGGTGTTCCATAACCTTTATGTGTTTCAAATGTGCTTTAGAGGTATATCTAGGGACACAATTTCCAATATAAACAGCAAAAACTTAACACATTTACTACAGCATAAGCTTTTGCGCACTGAAACCCACTTATCAGATTCAGTAATCCTCAACTGGCATGCATGCATACACCCACACCCCACACCCCTCACAAAGGTGTGTGAGGGAAATGTAAAAGTTAAGAGTTAAATAGCAATGAAATACAAAAAGCACCAGGCTGTACATCATACATTTAAACCATATTTCTTTCCCCAAAAGAATCATGGGAACTATAGTTTACCCCTCACAAAGCTACAATTCCCAGCACCCTTAGCAAACTATTGTTCATAGAACTCCTTCGGGGAGAATAGTGTGCTTTGAATGTATTGTGTGTATGCAGCAAATACCAACATGGCTGCAAAAGGAGTACTGACCTTTCAGTTCATTTTCTATGGTTAACCCTTTTACAGACATGTTTTCATATATTGAGGCTCACTGTAGATAGTAGTGATTCTGGATTTATACTATTCTAAAATATCCCGCGCTGAGCTTCATACATGCAAGAACTTATGCTGCACCACTCTGTAAGTTACAGCAATATGAATATTTATTATTAGGGCACAGCCAAGTGCTAGCCTACCATATTGTCTCAGTGTTTGATCCTAGGATGGGAGACCTGTGAGTGGCCCTTCAGATATTGCCGACCAACGATCAGGGCTAACTGGAGTCATAGTCCAACAACATCTGCAGAGCCACGCGTTCTGCATCCTTGGTTTATTCAGTACAGTAGTTCGAGGAATGCTGTAAATCTAGACATCCTTCTCCTTCTCAGTCTTAAATAATCAGATTAGGGAAACGGGGTGAGCGGAAGTATGTGTTGGCAGAGAATGCGCCCATGTGAACTTTGAGCTCTACAGGTGCATCCACGTACTTGGTTTTATTCGCTCTGTACAGTACAGTATAGGATCAGGGAGGGCGCATGCAACAGTAACAGACAAAGGAGCCTCCGCTGTAGCTACTTCCAACGGCAGAACTACATCTCCCAGCAATCAACGCGAGAGGCGACGACCCGGTTGTGGGCCGAAGCGAGGAATTATCGCGAGACTCTCTCAGCTGATGCCGCTTGAATCCCTGAGCGGGAGAGAAAGAAGCTGGCTTCCGCAGCCGTTTGAGTCTCGCGCCTGCCGGCCGGTGGCCGTTTGCACTATGCGAGAGACTCGCCTCAGCGGCCGCCTGTCCGCAACTAAAACGCAAAAAGAGGCAGCCATGGCTACTCGGGGGAGCTCGCGCGAGGAGAAGCTGGAGACCCCACGGCGCCTGAGGCGCTCTCTGCGGTTGGAGATGAAGGTAAGATGAAGGTACCGGGCGGGGCAGCACGGACCCTAATTATCAGTTATAACAATTTTTTTTATCTCGCCTTTTCAGGATACGTATCTTTCTGAGCAGCATCCATGCACTTTTAAAAATGCACGCATGTGAAACAATAAACATTTAGTAAGTCACAGGGATCTCAAGAGTTGGCCCTGAGGTCTAACAGGAGCAGACTCTGGTGATTTCTTCTTGCCCTTCTTCATCTCCTTTACAAACGAGCTGGTTTTTGTTTTATTTTTACTTCTTAGGTGTATATTCTACTATTATTGTATTATATCCTCCCCCCCCCCGGAACTCAGGGCTACAAAGACCGTTCTGACGGCATTACCGTTTTATCCTCATAACAGCCCTGTGAGGTATGTTAGGATGAGATACAGCATTTTGTCCGTAATCACTCCAGTAAGCTTCATGGCTGATAGGGGATCTGACCCTCCTCTTGGGCTGTATACGCACCATATGTTTAAAACAGCCCCCCCCAACCTTGGGTCTCCAGTTGTTTATAGACTACAGTGCCCATAATCCCTGACCACTGGTCCTGCTAGCTAGGAATGATGGGAGTAGTAGTCTGAAAACAGTTGGCAATCCAGGGAAAACAAGTGTTTCCTGTTTGGGAAACACTGATTTAAAGCATGGCCGTCCCCACCCCACCCCCCAAGTTTGGGAAGTGTAGTTTACCCTTAACAGAGCTACTGTGAACAGTTTCCAGAATTCCTTGTGATGGCAGAAATGTGCTTTAAATGTATGGTGTGTACACAGCCCTTAGGCTGATGCTCTTACCATATTTTTCGCTCTATAACACGCACCTGACCATAACACGCACATCGTTTTTAGAGGAGGAAAACAAGGGAAAAAACATTCTGAATGAAACAGTGGATGTATCATTTTTGTGCTTCATGTTGTGGCCACAGACATGTGA